GGGTAGGTTAGGGCAAAAAGGAATGGATTCTAAAATCCCAGGTATATGGGAAGGATTCTTAAATCCGTTGTTCATGGGATTTCAAAGGAAGCGATGGATTTCAATTTCTCACAATCCAGCAAACCAAACACTGGATTGGAATGGATTTCAAATCCAAATCCCCCCAATTCCATTCCAATCCCGCAAACCAAACGCACCCTAAAGAACCAAATCGCCTGATGCTTATGAATGAACTTCTCTTTGAACTAATTCATCGGTTTTATTCAAACAACAGAAAGTAGGGCTTTTGACCGCCTTCTCGACCCCTGGTAACAGTTCTCGACGCCTTCAAAACAGTAGCAGTTCTATTGAAGTTCATTTTTATCAATCTTGTGTTGTTAATCTTGAATGCCATTTTTATAGTTAGTATGTTTATTTAGAGTCGAGAACTGCAAGAAGCAAATTGCATATTGTTGTAAGGCCAATTTTATGAGCAGTTGTTGTTCTATTTTGATTTTCAATTTGGAATTGCTTTAGGATTGCTTTTGAGTGATAATGCACTAATTTATTATTTGGGTATGCAGATACATGGCAGGTTGCAGTTACTAGATACTTAAATGTCACACCTATTGTTCTAGATTGGACAAATCATCACACCTTTGTTGGCTACATCTTGATAGTATTGCTGCTGCTTAAGGTTAGTTTAAGCTTAAACTGCTAACTTTAGGGATAGCACCATTAACTGCATGCTAATTAACTTCATATGTTATGAGATGATGAATTGTATAACTTGCAATGTAGTTTGAATTGCTAACTTAGGCTTCTTATTATTTCATAAAAATGCTTGATTGATTCTTGATTGATAACTTCGTTTTACCACATCCTTTTACATAGAACCTTCTTCATGTTAATTGTGTATTTATTTCCTGGTATGTATTATATGTTCTGATAGTGTATAAGAACCTTCTTCATGTTAGTTGTGTATTTGTGTTATAGATTAACAATTTCCTTTCACTAGTTCATAGTTTGAAAGGGAAAAGTTTGTTGAAATGGTTCTTATGAACATGGAACCTGTTGAAATGGTTCTTATGTATGAACATGGAACCTGTTGAAATGGTTCTTTGATTGTTCATCGGATAAGTTAACTGTTCATGTTTCCTTGAATCACTTTTTTGCACACATTGTTATCCAATTTGAGACCCCTGGCATTGCCCTTTTCACACCCTATTTATGTTTATGCTTAGTTTGTTAGTTTTAGGTTTTGTATAATAATTGCTCTAATTGCAGGGACACATTCTATTGGTTTCTTGATGAGGAATTTCTTAGACAAATGATTGTTGCTCTCAATCCAATTAGCATAAAGTTTGATGCTTCTATGCATTTTGTCCACCAGGTAGTACTTTCAATAGTGTTGAATATATGTTGATGTGCCATAAGCACTTAATGTCAATCTATTAAGTGAAAGGTAATTGGTTATGTTTGTCCTCCAATGTGAGTATGTCATATAAGAATTTAACAGTTTTAAATCTGAATTTAAAATCTAAGAATGAAGTTTGCTTCTGTATCTTGACAAACAGACTTAACCCTCAAAAGATGTTGCTGAAATCTTCAAAAATTTCTTGCAATTTACAAATCCACGATTTTGGAATAGTAAAGTTGCATGGAGTGTGAACCTTGTCATCAGACTACCATTGGAGACATTCCTACACCAACTTGGCATGCTTTCAAGGAGTAAGTAATACCCTATCAAATAATTGAGCTTTTTGGCTTAATATATTCAATTATTTTGTAAAAATAAATTGCTGCATAATAGGATTGGTATTTCATGTTCATGTATCCAAGTATGTAATTGTCAATTTAAAGATCTTCAATCATGCATCTCGCTAGAATTTAAATCATAATTTGATCTTGTGATAGAGATTGAGAAACACCCTTTACTACAACACCATTTATACAAAATGTTTGTTGATTAATTTTCAAAAGGCAGAATGCAAAACCAGTGGCTGGTCATGCATCTTACCTTCCATCTTACTGGTCATATATCTGCTAAAAAATGTTAGTAGACCATTTATGAAAACTTGAATTGCATGATCAGGTCCTCTAAAGCTTGCATTCCTATTATGTTTAAGATGTAGTTGCATCAATGGTAACACTTGCCGGTTTTTCTACTTCTGATCCTAGAGAAACTGCATATGTACGTGGATCATGGTTCTCCTTGTCAAACTTAATTACAATATGTATCTGGTAGCATTACAATCTATACTATATTATAAAGCATTTGGCTAAAACTCTTAAACTCTTAAAACTCTTAAAAACTCTTAAACTCTTAAAACTCTTAAACCCGTTCATCCCTAAACAATTTCATCCC